GAAGATCTCAGAGGTCGAGCGCTGTACTATCTTCATCGGGCACTTGTCCAAAGGTAGGCAAAAGAGTATACTTAGAGATCTTCCGCACGACAGGCTTGATTTCTCAGAAGTCCTAAAGCTCGCGATAAAGACAGAGGCAGACGATTACAAGGACTTGGTGTGGAGAGGGATGAGGAGACGTGACTTCTCTCTATACAAGGAGTATGCCACTGATAGATGTCCTGATTTTAAGGACTATCCCTGGTCGGAGAAGAATGAGGCCGTGGCTGAGGAAGTGAAGGAGATACGAGACATGGTGAAGGGATAGACGAGACAGGTTACAGAGATTATGACCACTGCAGGGGCCACGGCCTACCGGGACAAACCTGGAGCGCCCTATTCACTTCGCTGGGACCGTAGGAACAATGATTCGTGGAGGAGTGTCGAGGATAGAAATCCTCGGACGCTGACTGATTATCGTACGAGGGGAAGAGAGAGAGACGATGAGCCATGGCGACGTAGGGACGATGCGATAGACCGAGACCGCAGAGATGGCGGGCCGTTTGCGCGAGCAAGGAGGCTGGATGATTACCCGCGAAGCCCTCGCTATGAGGCCGATCGGGGTAGAGGCGACTCCCGCGGCCGATGGGAGACAGATAAGGGCCAACGAGATGGATATAGGGACGACAGATACGAGAGATCGGACCGAGATGGATATAGGAACGACAGATACGAGAGGTCGGGTCGAGATGGCTACAGAGGTAGTAGGTATGAAAGAGGAGATCGGGACTGGGAACGACGAGATGGGTCGCGCGGACGGTTTGAGCGCAGGGGAGATGCGAAAGAGCAGCGCGACGAGTCGCGACGAGTCGCAGGGGTGGTACAACTGAGGAGACCGCCGGAATGATTCTCGAGGGCGGTATGAGCAAGGAGGGTCCGGAGGAGACCGCCGCAACGATTCCCGCGGTCGGAATGAGAGAGGGGGATATGGCGTCTCATTAGAACCATATCCCAAGTCGCCTGACCCCAAGGCAGCCAGGAGTTCGATCTCGAGGAGCGCAGACGTCAGGCCATGTACTCCCAGGAACTCATGCGTCTACTATAGAGGAGAAGATCATATCAAGAGGGATTGCCCGGACCTCAAACGGGCAATTGATGAGGGACTTGTCGTGCTTGACGACCGCAAGTACGTCAAGTGGGCAGATGGTTTGAGAGATGTATCGATGTTCCCTTCGATGAAGGAGAATGTAGAAGCAAGGAGAGTAAGGCTGAGAAAAAAAAATGAGCTGGTCAGGAGCCAGAGCATTAAGATAACCTTTGAGATGGATATGGCGACCACACCCATAAGGGTGGCAGCCATCAAGTCGGCGAGAGGGTCTACATCGGAGAAGACTGACACGGATTACGTGATGACGGAGAAGGATGGGCAGCGGGTCGATGGAGAGGAGGTTATCCTTTCGCCGCGAAAGCGCGAAAGCGCGGAGTGAAGAAGTTCTTAATGAAGAGTTCGCTAGACGAGATTGACACGGTCGAGCCACTGAGGCGGGCCCTTCGGCAGCCCATGCAGTGCTCTATTCTGGAGTACCTAGCGTCATCCAAGCCGGCTCGTGATGAGTTACAGATGATCACGCGAAAGACTCGCATACCCCTATCGGAGGAGGGTCAAGGGGCCCCTAAGGCGGAAGCTTCTACAGTAGCAGTAACGGGGGTGACTGCCAGAGCGGATCGCATGGCGACAGTCTTTCTCGATGGAATGGAAGGTGTGCCTCCAGACAAGTTTTATATACTTGGTAGCGGGGCCGTGGAGACGATTATAAACGATGGAGCGGTACTCGATGCTGTGATCGATAACGGCAGTGAGGCTGTCATCATAGACGAGGACCTGGCAGTACAGGTTGGACTGGGCCTCGACAGGTCGTACCTATTCGAGATAGAGACGACTGATGGGAGAAAGCAACAGATCACTAGGGTTTGTCACAAGGCAGCCATAGAGGTCCAAGGGGTACGAGTGACCCTGCCTGTCTTTGCAGTCAAGAACTGCAGCTCCGACCTGCTCTTGGGTCGAATGTGGCTGAGCCACGTGCATGCGGTGACGATAGAGCGACCTGATGGGAGCCAAACATTGTCCATTAAGAAGCCAGACGGGACGCGGGTAATGACTGAGACAGTGGAGCCTCGGGACCCGAGGAACAGAGCAGCTCTTGCTGTGGGTGCGAGACCAAGTGATCAGATKAAGTCGTTACCTATCTCCGGCCGCGCGGTGCGATTTCGCAAGAAGAAATATGGACCACTGCTCACAGAGGAAGAAGGTCGGATCGTGGAGGTGGAAGATGTAGGGAGTCGGCTAATAGTGCATGGCAACTCGTACCCAAAGGAAAAAGATGAGGAGTTTGGCGGTGTGGTATCCATATTTTTTTTAAGGGCACGGCCCCCTATGGGGGGTTACCCAAGCGACACAATCGAGTAGCTCAAAAAGTTAAGCCAGCGGCGAAGGGCCGCGAGCAATCTGCACTGGCAGGGATATCGGAAGAAGAGATCGCGAAAGAAATCAAAGAAAGAAAGAAAAAGGAGCCACAACGCCTAACGGAAGAGAGGATAGCAGGGATGGACATCAGAGATAGAAATCTGACCCCACAGGAGTGAGAACGTGTGATAGAAATTATGAAGACATGTGATAAGGCAATAGCTTTTAGCGACGCGGAGCGCGGTAGGATTGACCCTCGATATGCTAAGCCAGCGAGGATTTACACGATTTCACATGTTCCTTGGAATGACGCTAGATGAAAATACGCCCAGAAGGAGGAGGAAGAAGTTATCGCTTTCCTCAAAGAAAAGATGGTTTCCCACGTTGCGGAGCCGTCTTATAGCGCTTATGCTAATCGATGGTTCTTCCTACGAAAGCCGAATGGCAAGATCCAATGGATCCAGGACCTTCAGAAGGTCAACGCGGTGACGATACGAGACGTGGGCTCCGCGCCACACGCCGATTTACTGGCAGAAGGTGCCGCAGGTAGGTCGATTTATTCGGTCTGTGATCTGTTCTCAGGTTATGATGAGGTACCACTTGACCCTCGGGACAGGCACCTCACGACTGTGCATACGCCATTGGGACTAATACAAATGATGGTTGTCCCTATGGGTTGGACTAATGGGGTAGCYGTTTTTCAGAGAGCCATGGTAGCCGTCCTCAAGGACTTCATCCTTGATAAGGTTGAAGTTTTTATGGATGACTTTCCTATAAAAGGGTCAGTAGACAGGGATGAGACAGAGGTTGTACCTAGAGTTAGAAGATTCGTCGAGCAGCACCTAACAGATATTTGCGCGGTACTCGAACAGTTGGACAATGAGAATTTAACAGTCAGCGAAACAAAGAGCCGATGGGCCGTCTCAACTATTAAGATCTTGGGCTTTAACGTTGACTCGAGAGGACGTCGAGCAGATCCGGCGAAGTTAGACAAACTTCTGAACTGGCCATCACCGTTACATAGCTCAACCGAGGTCCGAAGTTTCTAGGAGTGGTCGGTTACTGGCGTATATTCATACGGGGGTATGCGGAGAAGGCTGAGCCATTGAGGTTACTCCTTCGAAAGACTGAAAATTTCTACTGGGATTCTTCGCAGGAACTCGCTATGCAAGAAGTTAAAGACGAATTTAAGGAGGGAGGATGCGTGTTGGGCGTGCCATTCTTTGACGATGAGACCGAGAGACCCTTCATAGTATCCACGGATGCAGGATCATGTTCAGTAGGTGGTTTGCTGTCTCAGAACGACGCTGGAGGGAAGGAAAGACCGTTAAGATTTGAGAGTAGGACACTTAATACGGCTGAGCGTAACTACAGTCAATTCAAGACGGAAGTGTTAGCTGTTCTTCGGTGTCTAGACACGTTCAGACACTATATCTATAGGCGACGGTTTATCTTGAGAGTAGACCCCACCGCGGTTGCCTCTGTCCTCCAGAAGGACTTTAGTCTGACGGACCCGACCATCGCCCGATGGTTAATACAGATTCGGCTATACGATTACACGGTTGAKAGGATATCTGGCACTAAAAATGCCGTGGCAGATGGACTTTCGCGCATCCCTCTTGAGGCCGAGCGCCCGATAATAGTTGGGGCCCTGACTATGGCGAAGACAGGACCCACCGAGCGTTTTCTGATTAACCTTTACGAGGGCAAATATCGAATGATCAGGCTACATTTGTCAGGAAAGGAGAGTCAAGAATCAGATATCCGGAGACAAGCGGCCCAGTACTGCCTTAGAGCTGGCCATCTGTTTTGAAGGCCGAGCGGCTCGGGGATGCCCTTACGAGTAGTTTGTGACCCTGAGGAGAGACAGACAATAGTTGCGGAGCGTCACGACGGGGTAGTCGGAGGACACAGGGGACTCAAAGGAACCTACGAAAAGGTACGCAGGTTATATTGGTGGGAAGGACAGTATAAGGACATCAAGAGGTATTGTAGGACCTGCGAAGAGTGCCAGAAGAGAGCTCTTGTGAGATACAAAGAGCCACTTCATCCATCTTATCGGACCAGACCAGGAGAGAAGGTACACATCGATCTAGTGAAAATGCCGAAAGGGGTAGGCAATATGAACTACGTCGTGAACATACGAGATGATTTCACTGGGTTCGTGGACGGTAGACCTATCAGGAGTAAGGCGGCAAAGGAAGTAAAGAACTTTGTCCTAGAGTACTTATCTAGGTATTGTTGTGTCAGCAAGATAGTAATGGACAGAGGAGCGGAATTCCTAGCCGACGAGGTTCAGAGCGTGTTTAGGAGAGCCGGGGCGAGACTTTCGATAGCCACCGCCTATCACCCACAGTCGAACNCACCCACAGTCGAACTCCCCAGTAGAGAGGGGACACCAGACTCTGATAGCGTCATTGTCCAAGTGGTGCAAGGGTAAGGACAGTGATTGGCCACGATATTTTCGGTACGCAATATGGGCGGACAACGTCACGGTCCGGGCTAGTACCGGATACCCACCGTACACCTTGTGGTTTGGGCGACATTGTCCGCTTCCCATAGAGTTTCACGTCGACAGCTGGACAACCGTCGACTGGGCGGAGGAGATGTCCAGAGAGGAACTCTTAGCTGCCCGAACAAGACAGATGGCCTACGGTTTGGAAGATAACCTCATGACAGCGGCAGATCGTCTGGCAGTGGAAAGGGACAAGGGTAAAGAGAGATGGGATAAGAACGTGCGAATCAGGAAAGAGAGGGTGAGCGTAGGAGATATGTTCCTTCTCTACGACGCGGCACTGGAGAGGACCTGGACCGGAAAACTCGCAAATAGATGGATGGGACCTTACAGAGTGGTTGAGGCACTCGACTGGGGTGCATATGTGATAGCAGAATTGGATGGATCTAAGTGGAAGGACCCAGTGGCGGGCGCTAGGTTAACGCTGTTTAGGCCCAGGCCCGCGCCCGCCTTATCGCTGACCAGCCCGAAAGGGAAAGGAAAAACCATAATGGAGGATGGAGCCCCCTTGAGGCAATTCGAGGCAGGGGAGAGTTCCAAGAAAAGGAAAAGAATAGAGAAGAGAAAGGTCAAAGGGTTAATTTTAGGAAGCGAGAAGAGATGGTTATTCGTGCTCAAGCGAGCTAGACGGAGAGTTCCCGTTAGACGTACTGGCGGGTCAACACCCTTCTCGGGGCAAAGACAGAAGAAAAAGAGGATCGTGCCGGGGCAAAAACCAGGAGAGTCAAGAAGCATCTTCTTAGCCCCAGGACTCATAACAAACTAAAACATAAGACAATTGAACGCCGACGTGGGCGTCCTTTACGGGCCATCACCCTGAAGCTCATCCGCTTCGTCTGACGTAAGTTGCTAGGGCTCGACGGGGGCGTCGATAAGTGGTCCGGGCTAACTGTCAGGCCACCACAAGCAGTGCGCCGCCTGAAATCTGGAGTTTTGGGTCTTAGGGTCAAAGACAAGTCCGTGTTTTGACGGTGCTCCGGGTTGATCAGGCAGCAAAAATTAGGGGAGTTTCAGGCACCCCTGATTTGGGGCGCGCTGAACTTTACGAGCAACCCTTAGTACCACAATTAAAGATGGGGAAAATGGATCAAGGCCAGAAGTGGAGGAAGGAAAAATATAATATGCCTTAATTTCTTTATTTTTCGCGGCATTAAATTCAAGGGGGAATACCCTTGTTATTTTATGTTCCCGGCAATGAAATTAAAGACATAGAAAAAAATTAAAAATGGTAAAAGAGAAAAGAAACAAAAGGAATTCGTCTATTTATTTAAATTTTCTCGGAATTTAATTTTGGGGAACTTACAGTTGATTTACTATTTCCGACACTAGAATTAAGGAAAGGGAAGAATGATGAAAAACGATGAAAGGGACGGGAACCCATGACCATTGGCAGATTGGCCTAATTTCGCCTTGATTACCCGCCATCAGCTCTGACTCCGGATTGATCATTTTCCCCGGATTTTAACAAGTTAACACGACTGCCGATGGTCGAGGTTCCCTGCGACGCTTTCCCTGATGTGCTTGATTACTAACATTACCGCCGTTGAGATGTTTTGAGAGCAGGAGTCGCATGGACAACATGGGGTGGTGCTGCCTTGGGTCGACTATGGTGTTTGGTTCGGTACGGATACGAGGGTCGTTACGGAGTGGCTACGTCCTACGGTGTCTGACGTGCTTCAGGTACGGTATGGGCCCGGTGACAGCTGTCTCACTACGGTGATTTATTTTCAGGTTTGGGACAACTGCAGTGATTTATTCTCAGGACCGGGGCCACTACGAGAGTTATTTCAGGCGGCCGTTTGTTTTCAGGTCCGGAAACGTTGCGGCATTCTATATCAGGTTCGGGACAGGTTATCATGGCATGATTGTACGGGTTCGGCATCCGCATGGCACAACGGCCCGGTACTGGATTTCGGGTTTGGTCAGGTTCGGTGGCATCGCGGTGTTTCGTTTCAGGTTCGACGCCCTCACGACAGTTTATTTCGGAACCTCTGCGGTGATTTATTTTCAGGTCCRGAATCATTGCGACGGTTTACTTCAACTTCGGTACTATTACCGCGCCGCTGCATCTTGCCGTGTTCGACATGTTTCAGGTACGGTACGACGAGCCTGTGAGACCGGTATCACTGTTTTCCTTTTCCTCCGTGGCGCGGCGGACTATTTCCTGCACACTTGCACTCCAAGAAGGCCCTGGTCGGTCAGACCATGGGACTGAAGCGGATATAGGGGAGAACAGTGAAGGAAATGGGATTGCATGCCAGGTGTGTCCGGCGTCAAGCAGTGGCAGAGTGGGAGACGAGCTCGAGGCGGAGACGCGTCGGCGCTCAGGCGGTTACTTGCGTGTGAGAGGGAGAGTGAGAGAGAAGGGGACTGCACAG